CCAAATGAGTTTTGCAATTTGTCAATCAAAAGTAGATGTTAAAACACGATGACTGAGGAACTGCATTTTTAGTCTATATGTGTAGCGCGTAAGATTATGACCAATTGGTACGTATAACATGATGATTGCAAGGTTGCGATGTTCCCATACCTAAAATCAAATTACCTTCACACCAGATGAATTTCAAATGTAAAATAACGACAAAGTGCCCCTTGGCCCACACCGTAAATGTTATTAGGAAAGCATCGCATATAATACTTAAAGCATAAACATGCATATATAACATGTGTAACTTTTTCTTTAAAATCTATTCATACTGTAGGCAAGATTCCTACTTACCTGATTTACAGAGCTGGAATCCACTTTTCGCCAAACAGCCTATTCTCTTACTTGTTTACTTCTGAAAATGAACACCCATTGAGAGTGTGAGATTATCTGTCGTTTGCTATTCTATTTTAGCAACTTATGAAGGAAATCTAGCCCTTCACTTAAGGCATGTATTCCTTTCCTTTAATGAAGGATAATTTACTATCAGGATCAATTTATTAGATCCTTAAGATCTTACTTTCCTTAATTTTCCTTAACGTACTTATGTCTAGATTGAAAATCATTTACCCAATCTAGTAACTTATTCTCCATAACTTTCCTCATTGGGCTTATTATGATATTAAGGCCCAATTCGGCCTAGAACTTATACATGGCATTCTAACTCTTCGGCCGTTGAAATTTATACTCTAACAGAGTCTTTTAAATTAATGCGGGCGTTGGACCCACATCAAACCTTTGAAATTCTAAGGACCTATCGTATTGGCTCGTAGGTGGCCATCAGGATGGTTTGCTCGATAAACCACTAAGTTCTTTAAAAGAAAGCATTTTTTCTTGAAAACTTTCTTTATGAATACTTATGTTAAAATGAGGTTTAACACTATAGTATTTTACTGAAATCACATCTCGGGTTCTTTGATAGCTTTTTGTTAAAACCAACACTGTGTTAGTTTTGTTTCGTTAAAACTATGTAGTTTCTGAAATCTACGTTTTACTGCATCATAGAGTCGGATTTCGGAATTGTGTTTTTCGTGACAATTCTTCGTCTCATCAAGATCTAAAATTGTCATTTATGGTGAAAGTTGAAATTCAGCCTTTAAAGGCCTCGTTTGGCTGAAAATAGTGGCTGCTATTTTTTTTTCTTTTGTTGTAGGAAATGCTGCAGCAATCTTTTAAAATGCTGCGGATGCTATAGTAATGCTGTAGCAAAATTTTCTTTTTAAAACTGTGTTGGACAGCCTGTCAATTTTTTGTAAAATGGCTACAAACTTGCTTTTAGAGTTAAAATTGGGTTTTGTCATAGTAACCTAAAACGTTCAAAACATCGAGGGCTATAAGTTCAAGCTTTGAAACATCAAAAAATCTCGCTCTAGGGTCCTCATTTTCGCGTCAACCGAAAATAAGCAACTTCAACCAAACATAAACATACCACATATTGCTAATCAACTAACCTCAAACTCACAAAACCAACATAAGACTCACACACCCTTATTACAACTTATTTCCTTGAGAATCACAATTTACATCAATGGATTCACAAACTTAAACTTTGCTAGAATGGAAAATAGAGAGTAAGGTTTTAGAATTTATACCCTTGAAGAAAGTTATTGGTTAGGCTCCTCCTAGGATCCTTTGATCACCTTCTTCTTCCTCTAAGGTTTGTTAATGGCTTAGAACCAGAGGAGTATAAGAAAATTTGAGAAGAATAGTTATACATCTCAAACTTCACTAGAACATAAAAAGAGAGGGTTTAGAGTTTCTTTACCCTTAGGGGAATGCTTGACAAGTCTCCTCCTAGACCCTTTGATCTCCTTCTTCTTCTTCTATGGTTTGCTAGTGGCTCAAGATTGGGAGAGTGGGAGAAAATATTTGAGAGAGAGTGGAGAGGTGTGGCCAGATTTGGAGGTGGAGAGAAAAGCAAGGAGGCAAAAATGAGACCTATCATATGTTGGTTCCTTTTATAGACAACTTTGTGATAATTATTTAACTCCAATTCCACTCATTATTCAACTAAATTTTTGGTTCAAATCCCCCAATCTTGGCCGGTTGTGGAAGGAGAAAAGAAGAAGCAATTTTACCATGATTTCCCCTTCAACCACTACTATCCCATCACCTTACCATGTCATCCACTTGCACACTCAACTAGCTAAGTTTTTGGCTCTAATTTGCTATTGATGGCTGGCCAAAGTGGAGAAGGAGAGAGAAAAATGAAATCTACCCCTTGTACTTTTGTCCACTCTCTTAAGTTTCCTTTGAGTCAGATAAAAATCATACTAACTGTAAGGAAGTACTTAACCGACATGAATTCTAGTTTCTGACGGTTCCTTTCATACTGTTTATTTACAGTTCAATGTTAAGTCCTCGACTACTTTGAGATCACATTAAATTCTTACTCGCGTAATATCTTGAACTGTTTAAAGTCTTGAAATTAATTCTAGACTGAACAAATTCTAAATTTAACTTTTCTGCATTCTATCCCGGGAATGACGTTGTTTCTGACGGTGTCAACTCCCGAACTCACATTGTACCCTTCTGTTATAGGTATTTATCTTGTGACTTTAACCTAGTTGTCTGGCAATTAAGGATTTTCTCTTCTTTAAAATGTTAGTGTGTTTTTTTTTTTGTACGCTGCTAACATCATGCTGTGTTTGGAGATTCTTGAAATTAAGATTCTCAAACTATACTTGTACTGAAAATTATTCCGCCTTAAAGTACGACGAGAATTTATCGATCGAATTTACTTGATTGAAAACATGAACTTAACATGAAATCTGCTACAGAATTTAGGAATACAGATATTAATTCCATAAATCCTTCAGTCACATAATATTTTCTAGGAAAATCCTTAGCTTAAATAAATAAATTGTATTATTTAAAGTCTGGGATTTTCTCAGTCATTACAATGAGCTTATGGCGTACCTCAGTGAAAGCTTAATAGTCGACGGTACTAGAGAATCGTTTGACTTAGTTCAACGGTGGAGGGCACGGGCATTAACTTGGCCAATCCTAACTCGATAGGCAATGGATATATTTTCGATCCGAGTCTCCACTATTTCATCCGAACAAGCCTTTAGTACGACAAGATGAATACTTGAGGAACGTCGAAATGCATTGCAAAGGGACATTGTTGAAGCCTTCGTCTGCATTAAGGATTCGGATCGTGTCGATCAACGTCTACAGGATACAATTTCTCCGGCAAGTCAAGAATGGATCGATGAATTTAATCGATTAACATTTAATTTTGAAGATGATCATTCAGCTTCAAATTAAATTGTAAATTTGTAAATATGTATTTACTTTTGACATTGTAATTGTATAACTTTGTAAGTTTGTAAAATTTGTAATTCGTCACAAAATGATTGCACTCTTTTTTCGTTACCAGGTTTTTATCCCAATTAGGTTTTTCTTAGTAAGATTTTTAACGAGGCAATCATGAATTACGAATTTAAAAATTAATATACATAATTAATTTATTAAATTGTGTTAATAATGTCTGTTGAATGTTAATTTTAATTTTTATATAATTTTAACACAAAATAACTTAATAATTATAAAGATTAAAAAATATAAAAAAATTTCGGGTATTTCGGGCGGGCTCGGGCAGCCCAATAGAAGCCCGCGGCCCGTTCACGAGCCTTTTCGGGCTCGGGCAAGCGGCCCAAAATTTTCGGACAGGTCGGGTCAAATTTCAGGTAAAAACTCGATATTTTTAAACGGTAACAGAGAGTCCGTTCAAAGTTCCAGCACTAGTCATATATCCAATTCCTATCTTTTTAAGTTGAGGTGATCAATCAATAGGACGTACGGAAATTTTGGTACCTCCAGGTAAGGTAAGAGCCGAGAAAACGACAAACAATAATAAAGTGAGCAGCATACGTACTTTCAAAAGACAATAAAACAAACAAACGACACTAAAACTGGAAATGACGAGAGATCTAAGGCAGGCTACAAGAAAAATGGTAAACGACAAAAAAAATAAAACGACAGTAAAAGAGGGAATTACACCATCAATGGAAAACGACGATATAAGAAGCAAACGGCAACAATTAGAAAACGAAAAAATAACTTGTAAAACAAAAATTCTGATAAACGACAAGAAAGAAATGACAATAAAAGAATCAAGATATGTAAAAAAGAAAAATGGCAACAAACAAAGAAACGACAGTAAAAGACGCAAACTCCAAAAACCAAGAATGTGTCGAGAAAAATTAAACTGAAAAAATAAAACAGGTACACGAGAAGAAAGATACACACAACAAAAAAGTGTAAACGACGACAAAATAGGAAGAACAAAGATAACACTCCAACAACAGGTATAAACAAGAATCACTAAAACGGCGACAAATCTAAAAACGACAACAAAATCGTAAAAAAGAGAAAAAAGAAACGAGTGAAAACAAAATTAAAATCGAAAAAACAGAAATTAAGTTAGAACCAAAAGGTAAGAGATGAGAGTAAAACTGAAGTAGGGAAAAGAAAAATATTAAACGAGACAATAACAGTAATAGAGGCAAGCGACCACGAAACGAGAAACAATAATAAAATGCAAACGACAACAAACTTGTAAACGACAATAAAATATAGTAAGGACAAAAATGGAAAACGACAACAACCCACCTCTGTTTTAATCACCATTGGCCTTGTCTACCCCGCAAAGATTTGAATGGACCAGCTTTTTTTAAGTACTATTTTAGCTTTCTTATTCCCTCCCTCTCTCTCTGTTTTCATACTTTTACTCTTTTATTTCCGTATCAAAAATGTACATTTATCGATAAAGAGACCCTTCCAAAGAAAACCCTAATAATAATAAGTAGAGTTTTTTAAACAGAGAACCTGATGCAAAACACCATACCAAATCTTTGAATCAAACATGATTGAAGACAATGCATCAGCATATATAACAATTTTTGAATACATACAATTTCATTTTGCACAGACAAACATGGGAAATCTTCTTAGCGTGGTGATATGGTAGAAATAGTAAGCCCGTTGATGGTAGGATCTGTTGATGACATTGACTGATCATTGGGAACAGCGACTCTACCCACAGCAAATGCTGGTTGTCTTGGTTCAGGAAGTGAAACTGACTCACTTCCCTTCAAAAAGACAACGACACTTGACATGGTGGGCCTATCTGCTGGATCTTCCTGGACACATAGAAGCCCAATATGTATGCATCTTCGAATCTCGTCCGTTGGCCTCGAACTTGATTCTCTCAACAAAGGGTCCACAAATACCAGCTCTTTTCCTTCCTTCCATAGTCGCCATGCCTGTGGACATGAATATTTAATTTGAACAAAATTATTATTTAATTCGTTTTCACATATAGTTGAATGTTGTATGAGACAAAGAAACGTACATATCCAAGTAATGTCTGGGCTTGTTTTGTAAGGTGGAATCCATTGTTCTTTTTGCCGCTAATTATCTCAAGCAAGATCACGCCAAAGCTAAAAACATCGGATTTTATGGAGAATATTCCCTCCATTGCATATTCTGGAGCCATGTATCCGCTATCACAAAAATTGACATTATCATGTTAGCAAGAGTATCAATTTTCTTCAAGAATTCATGGGAACATTTTCATAATGAAGCTAACTTACTATGTTCCTACAACTCTTTTGGTGTTATTGGTGTTTTGATTCTCACAAAATATCCTTGCCACGCCAAAGTCTGATATTTTAGCAACCATTTCATGGTCTAATAGTACATTGCTTGGCTTGAGATCTCTATGAATGATTTTAAGCCGGGAGTCCTCATGAAGATAAAGAAGCCCCTTTGCAATTCCACCAATTATATTGTAGCAAGTCTTCCAATCAAGTTGAGACCGTCTTTCTGAATCTGGAATTCGGTATGAACACAAGCCCATTTCAGTATCTAAATACTGTATTAGTAGATCACTATATACGAGTAATATTTCTAAGAATAGTAGCAGAGGAACAAACCAAAGATGAAGAAGTTAAGGCTTCTGTTTGGCATGAACTCATACAACAAAAGCTTTTCCTCTCCCTCTATGCCACATCCCAAGAGCCTCACTAGGTTCCGATGTTGAAGTTTTGCAATAAGTTTGACCTCATTTCTGAACTCTTCTAGGCCTTGCCACGACTTCTTCGACAATCTTTTCACTGCTACTTCCTCTCCATTTGGCAGCACACCCTGAAAGATTTTCCAAAATTCAGATATGTAACAAACAGCCTACAAAAAAAAGAGAGTTGTGTTAGGTTACCTGGTACACAGTGCCAAAACCACCTTGACCAAGCTTGTTTGAATCCTTAAAGTCGTCGGTGGCGGCCCTTATAGTGGTCAGATCCATGAAAGGAAGTTCCTCGGAAGTCACCAGATTACCTTCTTGTGTGATCGTTACAGCCGTGGGGCTTGCCAATTCTTGTAACAGAGCGCGCTCACTTTTGTTATCTACAGAGGAAATTTAATACTAATCCGTAAAACAAAATATAATTTTCAGAATCTCTTGCAATTTAGATTCATTCACCTCTTTGTCTTCTCTTCAAATGTTGGAAATATACCGTACAAGACCCAATGATGATAAGTACTAGCAAAGCCGACGCCAAAGTGACCGCCATAACCTCCCAAATCTTCAATTTAGCCCCTGCTTTTTAGAGGAAACAATTTCCTTGAATTCCAAGTTCCTATAAACCGTAAAACATGAACTAATTTTGCTTTCTCCTTCAAATGGTTTCTCCTAGCTTTGTTTGGCTTATTTAGATCCATCTAAAAGGTGACTCTTGGTACCATTTTTTTTATATGTAAATTTAAAAAGTTTGCATATCGATATTAATTAAGAGAGAAAATAAAAGAGAGTTTGAAATCCGAACCTTGTGGAAATGGATAAACCAACAGAGAAGTTGATGAATCGTTGTAGAATTGGTAAAGCTCAAACCTCACGTTACAGTTCTCACTAACGACAGTTCCACCTTGGCGATCGGAGCAGCATTCGGTAAGTTCCGAAAAGACTGATTGGAAACAGTTATTACAGTCACCCCCAGAGATGTCCCTGGTACACTGTAACAGACCATAGATGGTCTCCTCATCCGAAAACTTGATTTTCCCTGTTGCGAACATGCGGTTAGAAGCATTAAACGCGGCTTTGTCAGAAAGTTTAAGCATCAAATGCATCAAAACTTTGTTAAACAAAATGGGGTCTTTTACAGGCTTCTTCTTCTTATTAGTCTCCGGAAACATCCCAGTATAGACCTGCATTGGCACGATGATCTCAAACGAGTATCGAACTTGGCAAAGCTCGTACCATATAATCGCATCTTCACTCTTGCAATTGTTCAAGATACGATCGCCCGCGTCCTTGATGCAATTCTGACAGACAGTAGAGTTAACATCGCCTCTACAAAGCGTTTGTCCATAGACTATATCCTGGTTCTCTCCAGCGAAGGTGTTGTAGAAACCTCCTAGAGGTGTGCCGCGGCTTGTGTTTGAGGACAAGTCGTTGAGGAGAAGCCTGAGGTTGTTTTCAAATTCGCTGTTACTTCTGTAGTTTATGTTAGATGAACAATCTGTGTAAAGAGGGTCTGCTCTAGAAAAGACGGAGAGGATTGAAAGATGTATGATAAATATAATGAAAGGCATGGCTAAAGTTGAACCCTTTTCCTAGATTTCATGAAATGGTTAGCTTTCAATATGAGTTTTTTGCAGTTGTTAAGGCTGAGTGGAAGGAGTCTTAACCACCATAGATCTGTAATTGTATGTGATCATAGGAACACATTATCGTATAATATGGGATACATGGTGTTTCTATCTATGACTAGCTTGTTGAAAAGTCACCGTGATAATTTTATTCATATATATTATGAAGCTACATGGGAAACTTCCTTGAAGATTTTGGAAATTGAGATGATATAAGCAGGTAATTAATAAATTATATCTCATAAAAAAAAGTGAAATAGTAATCCTTTAGCCTTTAAATGTTTATAGATTTATGGTAAAAGTCTTCCAAACTTCTTCAAAGAGTGAGCTTGTTTTCAAATGAAGAAAAATATGACTTTGATGACTTCTAGCATCCAAAGAATCTTTGATACGGCGGATCTAGCAAAAGGACAAAGTCACAAGAGCAAAGGAAAAGGAGAGATTTTGGAGATTTACTAACACTTCTACGTCCACTAATGTCAACTATCAGCAATGCTAGATATATATATATATATATTAAGGTGGAAATGAAAATTCATATGAGATTTAGAATACTTAGATGAGGTGAATAAAATTAATTAATTTTGGATTCACAATAAAAACAGAATAGAAGAATGGGGAATAATAGAAAAATAATTTGAGAAATTAAAAGGTTAAGGAGGCACATATGAGATAGAATGTCACATCATATACCATGTAGGTTAGCATTAAAAGTTGATAGATAATTCTATTAGAGTGAAAATGAATACTTGAACCATGCAGTAGTAGAATATTTTGGATTAGCTCGAATTAAACTTGAATTGGGTGATAACGATCATCAAGAGATGATATAGATATACTAGCAAATAAGATGAGAGAAAAGAAGTCATAAGCATTTTCCTCACAAACAATATTTTATTAATATTAGTACCCACAATGCAATAGTTTGGCATAATATATTGCTAGGCCTTACTGTAAAAAGTGTAATTGCATCGACAAGGAAAACGACTATATGTTTAGCATTGCATTAAAAGCATGAAAAATGTTCTTGCACAAACTACTATCCGACTTGCATTTATCTAGTCCCTCTAAAGATCTCTTCATTAATGTTCCATCTAGTCAGCATAACTTATTACTAATTGTCTTTATCAATGCTAAATATTATTATTATTATTATTATTATTATTATCATCATTATTTTTTTTTCTTACTGTGTGCCACTTGGGCAGGCAAGAGGCTGCCCGCGCTGACTGGCTAATTATTTAGTTTGTTATATTAGACAGGTCATCAATTAGTAACACAATTAAGGGTCCTAGTCAAATTCAATGGATCAAAACAAACAATGAGACAGATAACTGGCTAAGGACCACTTGCATTATAAATCACGTAACAATCTGTATATTATACCATGATCATTAACCACACATTATCCAAAACCAAAAGGAATTGCTCAAATATCTATGGTTGTTAGAGCTTATCCAGTCTCATTTTCATATAAAGACGTATAGATTATAACCATTTTCGATTTATCTGTACTTTTTGTGAGAGAAAATATTGTAACGAATCACGAACCATGATTCGAATCAGGAGACGAATCCCCCAACCAAATAAATTTTTTTTTTTTATTGTATTACTACGTACTGCTTCTAGTAAACCAATTTAAGCCAATGAGATTTTGTAAGGATTAGTTGACTTCTAGTTTTTGGCTCTTTTGTGGGAAGTGTTTATCTTGTGCAGTACTTGTAATATATAACTGTAATATCTTGCGCTCAACTTATTTAACCTTATATAATGTTTCTCTCTATATCGTTCTTTTTTAGCCACGCATGTTGACTTTTCAGAATGCAATTGTTTTGAAAAATGTCTTTTCAGATGCAATTAATTACGACTAAATGATGATCAAGTCATTGTTAATTTGTTACTACGTCCATGTGGTAGGTGTTAGAATTACAAGCTGCTTGACTTGGTCAGTGAATACACTTTCCAATTCCACGTGGATAAATGAAAGGTAAATAATCTGACCCTGTGGAAAATAAGGTGACAGAAAAGTCTCTTCAGGATCATAATAATTTCCAGAGAATAGAGAAAGAAGACGACTGCAAATTGGAAGTTAAGAGGAACTAGGAAGGTTCCAGCCAATCGCTTATTTTCTTCGAAATAATTCTCGGTAAGAGAATTACTAGTTAGATAGTTATGTTCATTATAGCACACAATTTTTAATGCAAAAACACCCCTAGTAATTAATGAATATATGTATAAAGTGATCAACCACACCGTCAAATAACAGCAGAGACCTTTTACCATCTGCCATAAGATACGTACGTGTGGAATTAATCTATTTATGCCTCGTTTACTTTACCGATTCGAGTTTTTAATTTTAATTTTGATACAGTTAAAAATTTTTTAAAAAAATTATATTTAATTTTTTCTGTTACGTTAAAAATTCTCATATAAAGTCATATTTCAGCTTCAATTGAAAACTTAAAAAATGAGTTAAGTACAACTTGTGCATTGTTATGCCTCATTCGAGTTAAAATCAGCTCTGGACATCATCATTTAAAGGCTTAGATCATTATCAACTCCTAGAGTTCAAAGAGCGTTCAATAGCTAGTACTAGAGCATTCAACTCCATGAGGCACAAGAACCAAGACAGGTTAAGATGTATGGTTCCAAATTGCCTAAGAAAGGTTATAAATATTATTTAATAAGTAACGACACCATCTCTTAATGCTATGAGATTTTTTGAGGTAAAACCCAATAACAAAGTGATAAATTCGAAGTAACTAGATCACAAGATTGAATCAAGAAAATGAAAGAAAGAAATCTTTATTGAATTATCCACACAATCTACACAAACGGTTTCTTAGAAACCGACAGAACTCCCCTGCTCAGCGAAATGACAAGACTTCCTATTACATACTTCAATCTTTGCCTGCCTAGCCATCCAGCCTGTCATCCTATTTATTATTGTTCCCTCATTAACACTAATCCTCTGTACCCGCTCACATAATAGCCCACGTAGGCCTACTCACATAATAACCCCCATAGGCCTATACACACACAACACTACACACTCCCAGATCCCTAACCACTACCCCCACAATTCCTTACGTAAACCTGCCTAATCAAAGGCTTATCAACTACTCTGCCCCCCAAAAGAGTCACCTTATCCTCAAGGTGAAATTCAGGAAACTGCTGTTGAATGACATCAAAGAGCTCCCAAGATGACTCAAAATCCGGTAAGTAACGCCACTGAAGTAGAACCTCCAACTGCCCGGTAACCTTAGAAAAATGAGTGGCCAATAACCTCTCGGGTTCCACCCGTAACTCTAAATCTGGTGCCAAAACTGGCGGAACCTCCTGAGCCGGGATAGGGACGCCAATAGCTTTCTTAAGTTGCGATACATGGAAGACCGGATGAATTTTGGCGGCCGTAGGCAATTGCAACTGATACGCCACAGCCCCGATGCGTGCCACGACCCTATAGGGACCATAAAACCGCGGAGAAAACTTTTCATTAGAAAACTTGGCCAGCGAACGATGGCGATAGGGCCTGATTTTCAGGAACACCAAATCCCCCACGTCAAAAGAAACATCCCGACGCTTGAGATCTGCGGTCCTTTTCATTGAATGTTGCGCCTGAAGCAAATGGCCCTGTAGCTCCTCTAAAATAGCATCCATCGCCTACAATTGCTCCTCCAACAAGGAGTTAGCCGTGGAGTCCAACTCAAAGCGCAGCAACTTAGGAGGATCGCGACCATATAATGCCCGGAAAGGAGTCATTCCCGCGGACACGTGGAAGCTAGTGTTATACCAGTATTCGGCCCAAGCTAAATGCGAAAACCATTGAGTAGGTTTCTCGGAAACAAAACAGCGTAAATAAGCCTCTAAACACCGATTCACCACCTCCGTTTGGCCATCCGATTGAGGGTGGTAAGTTGTACTATGATGTATGGAAGTGCCCTGCAACTTAAAAAGCTCCTTCCAAAAGTGGCTGAGGAACACTTTGTCGCGGTCGGACACAATAGTCCGTGGGAATCCATGTAGCCGAACTACCTCTTTAACAAACAGGGCAGCCACCAACTTTGCAGAAAAAGGATGGCGAAGACCCAAGAAATGAGCATACTTACTCAACCGATCAACTACCACGAGGATTGAGTCATTTCCCCCTGATTTCGGCAGGCCTTCCACAAAATCCATCGAAATCTCATCCCACACCAAGTTCAGCAGTGGCAATGGTTGTAATAACCCACCAGGAGACAAAGTCGACGCCTTGTTCTGTTGACATACTTGACAGGCAGCCACAAAGGAATTCACATCCTGTTTCATGCCATACCAAAAGAATTCGGAGGACAATCGTTTAAACGTTTTCAATACTCCAAAATGTCCCCCAATCTTACTGTCATGGAATTCGCGTAAAAGGATGGGTATGAAAGGAGACAACCGGGACAGGACCACCCGCCCTTTGCAAAGCAACAAGTCGTTGCATAAAGAAAACCCTTTCACCCCCTTCGGATTGCCCAACAACTCCTTCAAAATTCCCGCCAGTTTCGGATCACTCAACTGTTGCTGCCGAATCTCAGCCCCATCATACAGCGCAGAAGTAGTGATGTGCATCAACTCCAACCCCGAAGTCCGCCTAGACAATGCATCAGCCACGCGGTTCTCGGACCCCGGCTTGTATTGGATCTCAAAGTCATAACCCAACAGTTTGCATAACCACTTTTGGTGCTCATCCCCCACTAACCTTTGCTCTAACAAGAATTTTAAACTTTTCTGGTCCGTGCGAATAATGAAATGCCGCCCGAGGAGGTAATGACGCCATTTCTGGATGACCAACACCACAGCCATCAACTCGCGCTCATAAACGGACCTGGCCCTAGCCCGCGGAGACAACACCTGGCTAAAGTAAGCTATGGGCCACTGTTGTTGCATTAAAACCGCGCCAATCCCAAAGCCCGAAGCATCGGATTCTACCACAAATGGTTGTGAGAAATCTGGCAATGCTAAAACAGGGACTGTAGTCATGGCCTGTTTCAATCTTCCGAAGGCAACCTCAGCCTCGTCATTCCAATTGAAACTGTCCTTCTTCAATTGTTGTGTTAATGGCCATGAAAGATGACCATATCCCGTCACAAAACGGCGGTAATAACCGGTCAAGCCCAAAAATCCCCGCAACTCCTTGATAGAGCGGGGAGTAGGCCAATCCAACATAGCTTGAATCTTATTGGAATCGGCCAAAACCCCATCACCGGAAATGATGTGACCTAAATACTCTAATTGACTTTGACCAAAAGTACTTTTTTTTTTATTGCCAAATAATTGGTTATCTTCTAAGGCAGTCAACACCACTTCCAAATGACCCACATGTTCCTCCAAGGATTAACTGTAAATCAAGATATCATAAAAAATAAAAAAAACTAAAACAAACTTCCGCAAAAAAGGTTTAAGTACCTCATTCATCAAAGATTGGAAAGTGGCCGGAGCATTGGTTAACCCAAAGGGCATAACTAAAAATTCATAGTGGCCCTCATGAGTGCGAAAAGCTGTCTTAGGAATATCCTCCACGCACATCCGAATTTGGTGATATCCTGATTTCAAATCCAGTTTGGTAAAGATCGCAACCCCAAATAATTCATCCAACAACTCCTCAATAACCGGTATAGGAAACTTATCCGGCACTGTAGCTTTGTTGAGAGCTCGGTAATCAACGTAAAAATGCCAACTCCCATCTTTTTTCTTTACGAGAAGCACCGGACTAGAAAATGGGCTGTTGCTTGGTTGTATGATCCCTGCCGCAAGCATCTCCCGTACCAATTTTTCAATCTCATTTTTCTGAAAATGGGGATACTTGTAGGGTCTAACACTAATGGGAGAGGTGCCCAGTTGTAAAATAATACGGTGATCACGCAATCGGTGAGGAGGGAGTCCATCCGGCATGTTCAAAACTCATGGATGAAGCTGCAGTAAGGCACTGATCTGGGCAGGAAGTGGCTGGTCCTGTTTGGTCGCCACGTCCAACGCATGTAACTCTAAATAGATGCCTTGTCCCTCATGTCTAATGGTCCGAAACATCGCTTTAAGGGAAACCATAGTAGTGGAGAGACTCATGTCACCACGCAATGTAACCACCTCTCCCCTAATCCGAAACTTCATCAACTGGGACTTCCAATTCACGTGCATACCCCCCAACGTTTCTAACCACTGCATGCCTAGGATAACATCCACCCCCTCCAATTCCAATGGCAAAAAATTTTCTATAATGGTTAGTTGCGGTAAACTCAAAGTCACTTCTCGACATAGACCCTGCCCTTTAACCGACTCCCCCATGCCCACTTGCACTCCAAATCCAGCCGTAGGAAAAATTGGAATGGATAACTTCTCAACTAAACTTAGGGAAATGAAATTGTGTGTTGCTCCAGAATCAATTAGTACAATTACCTCTTGTCGAGCAATCATCCCACGAATCTTCATAGTTTTTGGAGTTGATAGCCCAACCACGGAATTCAATGAATGTTCAATAAGCTCGGGCTGCCCCTCCTCCCAAACAGTCTTATCCACTTCGTCGTCTTCCTCCAAACAATCTGTGGATTCATCATCGCTAACCAACATAATCTGAAGCTCATTCCTCTTACAACGGTGACCAAAAGTGAATTTCTCGTCACACCTAAAGCACAATCCCTTGTCTTTCTTCTCCTGTAGTTCGGAGTCTGACAACTTCCGAAAAGGAAGATCTCATTTTTTAGTTGCTGTTCTATCCGAAATGGCTGGAATCGGTCCATTCCAGAATTTGGTCTAGCAGCAACTGTTGGTGGCTCCACTCGAGGGCTTCCAACGAACTGTGGCCTCGTCACCCTTGATCCCGCCACCTCTCTACGAAGCAACTCATTTTTCTCTTCAATTCTCTGGGCGATTTCCATTATCTCACTTAATCCCTCCGGTTTCAAGAGCCGTAACTCCGCCCGAACTTCCGCCTTTAATCCGTTAATAAAAATGCCCTCTAAAATCTCTTCAAGAACATCTAGGAGTGGAGCTGCAGAAACTTTGAATTGTCTGCGGTATTCCGCCACAGTACCCTCTTGCCGAATCGCCAAAAACTTCTCACAGATATTTCCTGCTTGTGATGAACGAAACCGCTGCAAAAGAGACAGCTTGAACTCTGCCCACCCATGAAAAGGACGGCGTCCATTCTGCCACTGGAACCAGGACAGGGCGTCTCCTTCCAAAGCAATCCTAGCAGTAATCAATTTCTCTCTTTCTGAGCAGCGGTTGATAGAAAAAAATTGTTCCATTCGGAATACCCACCCGTCGGGATCGTCGCCACTGAATAACGGACACTCCACCTAATGCCGGTGGTACGAAGCCCAGTCCTCATTCTCTAACAGCTCGCCTAAGACCTCCCTGTTATCCCAACTCTCCCTGTGTCGCCCCCCTCTGTAAACATCACCACCCATGCTGCCCCTCTGATCGCGAAATCTTCAGTTTTCAGGTTCACCGAAAACCCCTCGCCACTCTCCACGACGTCCCATCGCTCCTTCCCTTAGACGCACATTAATACCCTCACGTCGACCTTCATGGTCCTCTTCCACCCCGTCGCGACAGGAATTTCGCAAATTCCTCGGTTCCACCGGTCGTTCTTCCCCCTGTGTATGTAACCCAAGGGTTTCCGCCGGTAATGGTGCGTTCTACAGAACCCTAGGATCTATCACTCGTTCCTCGATTCGCGCGCGTGATCCGGGAATTTTCGTCCCTCGCGACCCCGCAACTACTGTCGGTGCCACCCCGCGCTCCGGCTCCGCCATAGTCGTCGACGTTCCTACTTTCTCGAGCGTTTTCGCCAGTGCCGACAACAATTTCATCTGCTCCTCCATAAACCGACGCAGTTCCGTGAGATTCTGAGTCATCTCAGTCCTAAGCATTCCGATGCCCTTCTCCATCTCCCCAATTCCCTTCTCCATCGATACCCTAACCTCTTTGATCTCCTTCTCTACCGTTTCAAACCTCTCCTCGGCTTTTCTTGCCGCCATAATTCTCCCAAGATGTTGCTCTGATACCAAATTGATAAATTCGAAGTAACTAGATCACAAGATTGAATCAAGAAAATGAAAGAAAGAAATCTTTATTGAATTATCCACACGATCTACACAAACGGTTTCTTAGAAACCGACAAAACTCCCCTACTCAGCGAAATGCCAAGACTTCCTATTACAGACTCCAATCTTTGCCTGCCTGGCCATCCAGCCTGTCATCCTATTTATTAATGTTCCCTCATTAACACTAATCCTCTGTACCCGCTCACATAATAGCCCACGTAGGCCTACTCACATAATAACCCCCGTAGGCCTATACACACACAACACTACACACTCCCAGATCCCTGACCACTACTCCCACCCTTCTTTACGTAAACCTGCCTAAGCAAAGGCTTATCACAAAGTTGCACGCGCTTAGACCCAAAGCGGATAATATTATACCAAGTAGAGGTGTGAGTTGTTGCGCACAACAAGAACCTCGGTCCCTTATGTACTTTGTTCCACGATGAGTTCTTAGCTACTATTTTCTCCAAGCTTCGTTGTGTATGCCATCACGATTCAACAATATCTGAAATACGAGGAATAACTGCCAAAACAACCACAAATGGCATGGGGCTCCCGAGCCCCTAGGTGCAACCTCCACAATCTCAGAGTGGCAAGAGAATGGTGTTTAGTGAACCCAAAAATTGGGAACCCGGGATGAGACCACGTTGACCAATTTCAACGTCAGAAAGCCTGCTATAAAAAGGAGGAGGACAGGGCTAAGTATGGATTTGGATTCTGTTTCTTTTACTAGGCTTATCTATTCTTATTTACATATCATGTTGAGAGACTGAAAGAATGAATTCGAGCATGTAATCTAAAAAATTAAAGGTTTAGAAACTATAGTAGACGTAGACTACATTGACCCGAACCATTCTGAACCTTTGTGTTTCTTCTTTTATTTTGATTTCCATTTCATGACTTTGCCTGATGGCAAACATCACATGCCCATGGCCAACATTTAGTCACCAGTAAACTAAACTTAAATTTGATAATTTCACCTTTGTAGATTCTCATTAAAGAACTGCATTTTACACAATTTTAAAAATGGAATCAGTTAGATTCACAAAACTAAAAAGGATTGTGTATCTCATAAACAAGGCAAACGTAATTGGGATCTCCAATTGAAGCAGACATCTAGTATTAATAAGCTGCATATCACCGAGGCATAACATCAGAAACTGTGACACCATTGACAGAGCAACTGTAATTGACACCTGATTCACAATGGTGTGTAAATGTCCCCGCGGAGAAGGCTGGTCGTTTGGGCTGGCAAAGAGTTGCAGATTCACCTTTCAACATTACCACGACAGACGACATAGTTGGTCTGTCATATGCATCTTCTTGAACGCACAGCAATCCAATATGGAGATAATTTAGAAATTCCTCAGGGTCGCAAGAATCAGCAACCAGTGGATCAATCAGTTCCAGCACTTGTCCTTCATGCCATACGTGCCATGCCTGCACATGAAGAACAAAGAAAAGGTTAGAATTTGTTTGACAATGATATATATATACGTGAGGAAGTTCTATGGGACTTAAGACAGAAAAGCTCACATATCCAAGGAGGTTTGGAGCGCGGTTTGTTTGATGAAAGCCAGCATTTCTTCTTCCAGTTATGATCTCAATCAAGAGTACTCCAAAGCTAAAAACATCAGACTTGATAGAGTATAACCCCTCCATAGCATATTCTGGTGCCATGTATCCACTATTTTGCACCCAAAAAAATAAATAAATATATATATAAAATAAAAAAATAAAAAGCTAAGTACTAGCATTTATAAATAAGAGCTTGTTAGGTATCAAGACCTATGGTTGTTTGTTAAGAGAGAAAGGAGGAATGAATGGATTGAGTAAGAGATTTCAAGTCTTCCAAAGAACCTAAAATATAATGTCTCAATATTGATGGATTAAAGGAGGGAATTCATAAACACAGTGAGAGAAAGGTCATTTCCTGCCTCTTTATTTTTCTCATCTAGATTATATCTTTCCTTCCTACCAAACAAAGCCTTAGAACAAAAAAGAAAAAAGAAGAAAAAAAAAACTTAAATGGGTTAGAGCAGTTACTATGTCCCAACTATGGTGGTAGTATTTGCTTCTCCTTCAGTTCCTGCCAAAATCCTGGCCATTCCGAAATCGGATATCTTAGGATTCATATCAAAATCCAGCAGTATGTTACTAGCCTTTAGGTCTCTGTGGATGATTCTGAGTCTAGAATCCTCATGAAGGTAAAGAATTCCCCTCGCGATTCCACCAATAATCTTTAGACGTATACTCCAGTCGAGCTTTGCACGCATCTTATCTAACATGAACAGAAAATGCACACTTGGGTTATAAATTCAGTTTTTTACTTAAGGTAAAGAACTTTATAGTAAAAGGCAATGTTACAAACCAAATAGAATGACATCTAGACTGCTGTTGGGCATGTATTCATAAACAAGCAGTTTTTCCTCTCCATCTACACAAAAACCCAAAAGCCTGACCAGATTTTTATGCTGAAGTTTCATTATCAGTAGAACTTCATTTGTGAATTCCTCTGAGCCTTGCTCGGAACCAATCGAAAGCCTCTTGACCGCCACTTCCCTTCCATCATTTAGTGTGCCCTGAAAAAAAAAAAGAATAGTATTTAAAAAAAGTACAAATCTTCATCGCAAGAGGAAAATTGATTCCTAGTTTCTTTCTTAAAAAAGAAGTTGAAGTTGTTACTACCTTGTAAACAGGGCCAAAACCGCCTTGTCCAAGCTTATTTGAATCAGAAAAGTAGTTTGTAGCCGTGTGTATGGTTGTCAAGTCAATATAGGGAAACTCCTGATCTTTTGGATAATTTCTTTTGAATATTTTGTGGCAAAACACACCTTGATCATCTCCTATAACAGAAATCAAATTTCCAGTTTAGCAAAAAAATTTAAAATAAAATATCACACACATACACAAACGCACACAATTACTTCTAGTCTTTCTTCTGTTAGCAGCATGATAGCAAGCACAAGAACCAAAAAGTGCCACCACCAAGCAAGCTGATCCAACAGTAAGAGTTGTAATTTTCCATATTTTCCTTCCGTTACCTGCATTCCAAAGCAATATTTAGTTCTCCCAAAATTATTCTTCCCTATTTTTCAGTACTAAACAAACCATGAAATATACATACACATATATGCATGTATGTATGTATGTACAATTTTCTTACCTTTTTTGTTATGATTATCTGGTGGACTAGAAATAGGGTCAGATCCATTTTTGTAAAACGGGTACAACTCATACCTCAGATAACAGCTCGGACAAAGAAGCCTTGCCCCGATAGAATAATTATACTTATGAAGGACATCTTGCGTTGCCCTTTGAAGGCATTTACTACAATAATATGGAGACAAGTCTTTAGTGCACTGAACTAAGGCATATATCGTTTTATCCTCATAAGAAGCTTCTCCTGTAGCGTACATGTTTGATGAAGCATTAAAAGCCGCCGACTTGGTGAGACTTCTCAACGTTTTGTTCACAACGGAGCTGAACTTTTCCGGGTCCTGAATTCTTTGCACGTTGGCTAAGGGAAGATTTTCCGAGAAACTCAGCTTGCCGAAGAAGTTGTAGTCGGAGTATCGTAGCTGGCAATACTCCTCGTAAACGTAGGCTTCTGTTGAGTTGGGACAGAGCCTTCCGATGTCTTCCTGCGACGCCCGGGTCATGCAGTACCGGCAGGTCTCGCTCGAAACGTAGTTGAGGCACATGTAAAGAGCGTAAACTTTGTGATTCGTGTCGTTGCCGTTTGAGGTGTTGTAGAACTTGGAAGAAGAAGCATTTGAAGTTAGAGTTTGGAGCAGATCAATGAGGTTGTTCTGAAATGGACTGTTTTCGGTGTAAGTAGTTGTGGTTGAGCAGAAATTGTAAGGAGGGCTTTTAGGAAAACCACAAGCAAGGTCGTAGAGAATAAAAGAAAGCAAAAGAACAGGAATATTGGTTTTCACAAGAGCGTGAAGATGGTCCATATTTTGCGTTTTGGTGACTAGAACATTGATCATGGTAAGAGATAATTGCGTACTTAATTTATGTATAACTGAACTTTTCTCTGTTTGATTTTGGGTCAAGTTTTTTGGATGCTTTCTTTCAATTTACAGGTAACTTCTTGGAAGAGTGCTTCAATGGTTACAGACAGTCACCGTCCGTGTACGTTCTCTGAATGATCCAAGTCATGTGTATTTTTCAAGATAATACTTTGAGTCAGTGTAGCAAATTATATAAATATAGCAAATAGTATAAATAATGCAAAATACTTCAATCTCATTTGATCAATTGTTTCAAATCAATCACTTACCATTGTTTAGACGGAAATAGTAAAAAATAAGTCAATATGAAAAGCTTAAGAAAGTAGATAGGCCAATTTTTAGTTATAGAAATTAATAGGTCATAACTTATTAAGTTACGATTCATAATTAGATAATTACCGCTTTTTCCTATACGACAAGTGATGATAATTTTAAACATGTAAGCTGGGAGGAATAGTTCATGTTACTATGAATGGCTCATTTAAGTTGCGTTTCGCATCAGGTTCAAATGATAATTTTAATTTTAAAACTAAAATGATGATTTATAGTTTAAATTTAGAGTTCAAACTATAGTTCTGAAACTAAAATCAGAATCAGTGATTTAAATCATCCAAAATTAATAAGGGAGATTGTTTTATTTTTAAAGTGATTCTGATTTAAAATATTGCATAAGGATTCAAACTTTAAATCAGAATCATACAAATAACATTAATTTTTAAAAACTATTTTTATTTTTTGCAACTATTTTTTACGTTTTACAAACAAACAAAAATTTAAATTAAAATTATGATTTCGATTCTAAACTCTCAAACGCTTAATGGATGCTGACTTTTTGTGGTAAACAAAGGGAAAACAAAAACAAAAAGATACATGAATGCATCTACAATGAAGTGTTTAATTCAGGAGGATTAAAGTCTTCTAACAATGACAAGTTGACTGACTTAGAAAATAAAAATAGTGGGACTTCATTCAATAAAAGCATAATTAAAAGGGTGGTTCCTGGAAATTTCCTTCCAGAGTGCCATAACTTTTTTTTTTTTTCTAATATCAAATCTTGTTTTTCTTTCGAGGAACTCACAAATTTTTTAAGTGTTTAGTTTTTGACTTTTCATTTTAATTTTCTTTTCTTATTGAACTACTTAATAATTATGTTGCTATCTTATGACATTTGAACTCAACTTTTTGCTAAGAAAATTTGAACTCAGAACTTCAACAAAAAAAAAAGTACAACTAAAGCAACTCAAATATCCATTATATAGTACCAATTATGCTAGTTTTAATTGGCCTAAAAGTATTTTAGATTACCTCATTCTTCTCAATCTTCCTCTCCACCTCTACAATTAACCTTGCATAAAAGTAACAATACACCTAACTCCCAGGCACAAAGAGGGTAGACTCTTTAATTATCTATATAATTTTAGTGTAATATATTAATTTATAATTGTATTTTTTGGGGTTATTTTTAGCCTCTCAAATTATAAGCGTTATATAACTTTGGTCCCTAAATTTTTAATTTTGCTAAATTAATCTTTCAGCATATTTTTATACGGTTTTAATCAGTGACATTAAAATTGACACAGAATTTATAAAATTTCAAAGAGAGAATCACATATGAGTTGCTTAATAACTAAAAATTTTATAAAAAGGGTTACATTAAATGCAAATATACTCATCAAAACTAGAACCATTTAAGGTGACTATTTCCGTAAAAGTACAATTTCTATGGTAGTTATTTTTTAGGGATTAGAACTGTAAAAAATCAAATTTCATTAAGTAATTATTCTAAATTAAAAATTCAGAAACCAAAATGAGACGATTACTCGAAGAGTAAAGAATACTATACTTCTCCCTTCAAACGAAAAAAAAAATACTAAGGATTTGTTCTTTTAGAGTTTAACTTGAGTATAATTCTTGAGTTGAATTTGAGTTATAACTTGAGTTGAACTTGTAACTTGAGTTTGTGTTTGGTTGTGTACATTTGAGATAAGAATCTTTTTGAGTTTGTGTTTGAGTGAGTCAAAACTTAAATTTGTATTTAGATAGTATTTTAATAAAAACTTAATGTTGATGAAAAATTTTAATATGGTATACGGGTCGGGTTTTATTCGCCTTTTCGTTGTCAACGCATAGAAACAAAAATCATTTCAATCAGAATTAAAACGAAAAAGTTATAGCATTTTTAAGAATAGAAAAAATATTATTCATTAATTTGAGTTCGAATTTCTGAACTCGAATTGAAGAGAAAACTTGAACTCGAGTTTTAATCATAAACTTGAGTTTAAATTCGAGTTTAAATTTGAATTTAAACTTAAAAAAAGATGAACTCAAATAAAATTATAATTTGAGTTGTCTTTTTTTAAATTTTTCACCCAAAAAACAAACCCTAAAGATAAAGAAAAATACCTCCGTTTCTCTTTTTATTTTTTATTTTTTATTTTTTATTTTTTTACAACAGTTGGATTCTTTACTCTAGTGGCAGGCTTGTTTTCTACTCCGTCGACATTCAAGAGAAATCTGCGTGAACAATTGTCATTAGTCTTGGGAACTAAAAAGGCAAATTCTTTTGGGTTATGGCACTCACTGTTACGAGATTTGCTTCCACATTTGGCTCGTCTTCTGCACTCGTTCGTCTCATGTTGGGCAACTCATATCTGCAACAAGACTTCCGAGCGTTGTCTCTGTGGCGTGCCGGCCATTTTCACGCTTCATTCTTCTGCTCCGTGGCATCCGGTGAGCCCTGGAGACCTTTCTTGCCTAAGTTGGTATTCTCCACTCATTTAAAAAAAAAATGCCTTACAACTGTTTGTGAAAATGTATCTGAGAAAATGTCTTTACTTTACATGGTCTATGTGGGACTTTTCTTGAGCAAATTTCGCGTTTAGTGCACATTTTCAGTCGTTGGTCACTGAGCTTTTAGTTCGTAGAGTTCTACTCCAAATTAACTAGCATTTTGCAAATGCTCTGAATTTCCAAGATTAGAGGATGGTGGTGGAACAAATAATAACGAGTTTCAGAGATGGCACAATGGAGAAGGAACTTTCCACAAGTCAGCTCGAATTGACCCGACAGCGGTTGTCGATGTTGGTGCGGTCGTTCATTCAAAAGCTGTTTTGGGTGCACATGCTCATATTGGATCAGGAGCTGTTGTTGGACCTTCTGTTACTATTGGCCATTCAACAAAGATATGGTATATAATAGTATACTGGTCTTTATAATTGGAAACTTGCTTTAAATCGGATGTCTTATTTACTTCTTCTTGCTATCTACATTAGTGTAATTTTCTTAATGAAGTTACTATTTTCACTTGTACTTATTTTGCTCATAATTGAACTGCCTCATTTTCCCAGGTATAACGTTACCCTTTCTAATTGCACTATAGGTGATTTGTGTGTGATCCACAATGGCGTATGCATCGGTCAAGATGGTAATAGAGATTATTACAAGCTTGGTTCAGTTTCATGCAGTTGATAAAAACGCTAGAGATTACAAAATTGGTTAATTAGCATCTGATAGACGTTCATTATAAAGGCTCAATCATCTATTGTATTCTAGATGTGTCTGAATATATGCTTGCACAGTACCAAGGTTGATATGAATCAAATTTTTTTGTTTGTATATGTTCCAACTAGTGTACAATTCACAGTTTTTGAAAGCAAGATCTATAACTGCCTCCAAATACGCTTTTACTCAAACTTTAATTTGCTATGCTAAAATCTGAAAGATACTTTCTATGAGGATTGCTTTACTTCTACCTCTTGGGTAGCTTTTCACTTTTGAAAGTGTACATTATCTGCTTAACTAATGGGCAATGTACTATAATTTACATGGACCTTTTCAACTCGTACACTTCCTTTATGCGTAGTAATTGATTACTGAAGTCAAAGCAGTTGCAACTATATACTGATTACCTTCTCTTCTGATATTTGGCACCATGTTTATACCCGCAGGATTCGGATTCTTGGTGGATGAGCATGGAACTATGATAAAGAAGCCTCAAGTAAGTGCTGCTTCTTCAACAATCAGATTTGAACCTAACTACTGTTATTTGCTTTACTTTTTGTTTAGTTTTCTGGAATCCTTCTTAGTTTCCTCTTTGTACTTCATTTTTCACGTGTCTCTCAATGGCTACAAATCACGTGATCATGGACTTGCAGATACAGAGATATTTTTATCAGTTCCATGTCAAATGTCAATACGTGGATTTAACATTTTTATTGCACTGCACATTCTCACCAGCTTGTATTGAGAGAACATATGATGTTGAACTAGTATATTTTGTTTTATGTTTTGCTTGATTTGTTAAACTGTTAGATTATCAGTTGAAGTATCTAACTTTCTCCCATTGTTCTCGCCCACTAAAAAACGAATCGAAAAGCTGCTATATGCTAGGATAGGGAACAATGTGGAAATTGGTGCTAATACATGCATTGACAGAGGCAGGTGAGACATGTATTGCTTTTCATCATACATTTATAAACTTGTCCTATCCTTCACATTCTTTTCGGGATATCATAATCAATTAATCATACCAATAATTGCTTATGCTATTATTGCAGTTGGCGAGATACTATAATAGGCAATCATTCAAAGATTGATAATTTGGTTCAGGTTGGCATCTACTTTCCTAGTCTTAATCTACATATCCTGGCTGCGCGGATGATTCAATATCTGATATCTTATTCAGATAGGTCACAACGTAGTTATTGGAAAGAATTGCTTGCTCTGTGGTCAAGTTGGGATTGCAGGTTCTGCAACGTAAGTTATATCGTCGGGTTTCATCAATTAATCTGCTTGAAAAGTTTTACCTCCATTCTCCTCCCACTTTACATTACCAACTTGGCCCAGCTATGCCCAAGAGTTATTTGCTTTTATCGCTTTATCTGTTGTAGGATAGGAGACTACGTAACTATGGGGGGAAGAGTGGCAGTCCTTGATCATGTTTCTATCGTATCAAAGGTACTCACTTAACTACGGGAGTCATTCTATCTGCCTTTGCCTTTTTGTTGTCTCGTTAGAGAAAATGTTAAGCGATCAAAAATATCATCTCACTCATAAGGTTTGGTATTCACCTTCTATTACTAAACTGAGTATGGATTGTTGCAGGTCCGTCTTGCAGCTACTAGTTGTGTCACAAAGGATATTGTAAAACCTGGTGACTATGGAGGCTTTCCCGCGGTAAGTATCACCTTTATTCTCGTGAGAAAGAAAATAAAGACACTATTACTCTTTTTTGTTTTTGGTAATTTAAGATACTATTAATAAACCAAAAAATAAAACAAAAAAGAAATATTAATATGTGCCAAATACCAAGAATGAAGCGTAGGCCCAATTTTGAGCATTTTTCCGGCTTGAATCTTTTTAGTTTTCTCTAGTGTTGATTAAGTTTTACTATGTAGGTTCCAATTCAAGAGTGGCGAAGGCAAGTTGCCATGCAATCTCGGATATCAAAGAAACAGAATCCTTGAGAATCATCGGTAACAAATTAGACCGATTATGATAAATATTAAAAGCCTTTCAATGTCAAATGTGCTCGTCGGGCACTTGAATCTGCTGAGCAAAAAGAGGATAACTGGCATTTTAAATTGTGATTGTGCCGAATTTTTCACCGTCTTTGCATTTTCTCCGAGACCCTATGTACGTAATTCTAAATTATATACCTTGTAAACAGTCTTAGTTGCTTTTTCTTTCAGTGGTATGTTAGAAAGTTTGCTAGGTAAGTTCCAGATCTTTCAAATGTGCGAATAAAGCACTAGGAGCTTTTACATGTGTGTATTTTCTGTCTTGTTAACTTTTCTTCCTTGCTTCATTTGCACGTAAAAGGCCAAGGCAAGTTTCTTTTGTACCATGTTGTTTTCCAGCCGTTATATATGGTTCTTTTGTGATAGATTTTCTTTTCTATTTGCAACCAAAAACTTGAATGGAAAGTATATGATAATAAAAAATTGACTAGGAATAGAAGAATAGAAAAAGATGAGTCGTATCTTTTGGTTCTCCTCTTGAAGGTCTTAAGTAACATCTTTTTTCCTTTTGGTCATTTCTTTCTTAATTAGGTTTACCAATTTTAATTGATTAATCATTTAAATTAGATCAAAGAATTATACGACACATTTGAAATGACAGAGAAAGAGAAAAAAAATAAAGGCTCTCTCTATGGTGAGACTACTTAAAAAAATCTACCAACACTCTGTTTTGATTGTTGGATTACTTTTCAACAGTCAGAATTGCAGAAAAAACAGTTCTATGCGACGTGCTGTAAAATTTTTAATACAAACATGCATTGATCTGACCGTTAAAAATTTAATTCAACAGTTTAAAACAAGGTGTTTTACCGGCGAATTTTTTTAGAGGATCTCACTGTAGAGGCTTTTATAAATAAAACCATTTAGGAGACGTTTGGTTCATGGATTAGAACTATTTTTTATTTACGTGTATTTTTTGTGAGAGAATACTGTAGCGAATCATGAATCATGATTCAAATCATAGTTTGAATCCTCTAACTAAACATCCCCTTAAAAACTAGTATAAAGACATGTTTAAGTCATGATATTACAAATTGAATCATTTATAAGAGAATAGAATGATTATACAACAAATACAAGCGAATTAAATCCCAATAATCTTAAAACATAATAAAAGCAAAAAAATAGAAAAAAATAGAAAAAAAAATACACAAGATCCAAATCATGCGAAATAGACAGGGCACTTCCTATTCTTAGAACCGGGCAAGATAAGTCCATCGGGGCCCACATCGACGTCACAGTTGGCATGCATCCGATGGCGCTTACTCTCCCACGACGAAACCCTAAACCTAATCATGGACGTCAGTTCCAGGCGAAACACCACCATCCCTCTCGCCCTGTCGTTCGTGAATTCCATCCAGCGCTGGCTGCTCACCGTCAACGTGGCCCCACTAAACGTGCCGTCGATCACCGTCGTATTCTTTGGTTCCTGGCTAAACGGCTCGTGCATCAACGGCTTTGTTCCGATCTTCTGGTCCCGGTAATAAACCGACCCCTCCATCGAGTCGTACCGGATCCCTATGTTCTGGTTCGGGTTCCGGGCCGACGCGTTGACCGTTATCTGGGCGTTCTCGAACCCGGATTCTTGGCCCAAGCCCGGAACCGAGAACTCGTGGATGTGGAACCTGGGCCGGTGGGGGCGGAGGCTGAGCCAGAGAATGAAAGTGATGAAGCCGACGATGAAGAGAAGGCCCAAGAAGATGGCGCATATCATCTTGGAGACCCGGGTGGTGAGGCTTTCTTTGACCCGGTGGGCGTAGTATCGGGGCGTGTGGTGGCGCTTCAACGGTCGGGACTCGGGGCCCGATTGGATCGGGAGTACTCGGTCCTGGCCGGAAGAGTGCATTTTCTTGACAGCGGAGAAAATGGGAGTACTTTTGTGGTGATTGTGAACATGGACAGACGTTTTTTTTATTTCTACGGGGGAGATTTGTGTATTATAAGTGAGTTAGTGAGGAAGGTGGCGGGGAAGAGAAGGGACGTTGGAGAAGTTTAGGTATTTTGCATGGGAAAGAAAGGAATAAGGGATCACATTCACTACTGTTGTTGTAATATCATCATCATGATCAATTTGGTTACATACGTACGCAACCTACTTTAGTACATGTTACATGTGCATTTGGCTATTAGTGTATTTTTTTTAATTTGCTTTAATTACTTAATTTGCGTGGGCTAGCTAGGTTAAGAGATGATTAAAGTTTATGGGCTCATTTTGTAGAGTTTTTGCTTTTACATTTAATCAGTGGAAGATGAGAAACAAAATCTACAGACTTTTCGTAAGTCTTTGAAACCACATCTTATTGATCAAAATGACTTTAAAGTTTTTCAATAAGCAATAAAATTATTAGGATAAAGTCTATTATGTCTTATTAAAACTCTTATACAAGTTTAAAGATCTAATGTCTTTGACATAGAAGTTCTTCTGAAGCGCTAAAGATCTTATGGTAGATCATCTAAACATTTTCTAAACGCAAATTGGGGCCCTGGAAGCTCCGCCAAACAAGGTTTAAAATGTTATACTAGTACTTCTGGAATTTCAGTCGCTAATGATTTTGATATGCATGTTCATCATGATGTAAGTTTGGACTTTATAATGTCCGATACTGAGGCATATTACCTAAAAGGTTTCCGTACTGCAGGAAGCATATTTACGAATTGATGGGTGCGTTTGGAATTCGTTTCAAAATGATTTTATTTTTTTGTACGAAAATGGAAATTAAAACGTTTTCAATCTCATACATAAATCATTTTTGAAAATGTGTTTGGCAGTGTTTTCAATATATTATTTTCAGTATAAAAATCCATTAATGTCTCTCTCTCTCTCTCTCTCTCTACTTGAGAGAGGAGAAAACGGAAACAAAAAATGAAAAATGACTAAAAGTTGTTTTCCATTTCTCTCTCATTTTACACTAAACCAAAAAATCATTTTCATTTCCGTTTTTTGTCTTTAATTGTGCCAAACGCCGTTTCTCTTCCATTTTCATTTTCTCTTTCTCGAAAAACGTGAAAAACGAAAATAAAAACAACTCCAAACACAGCCGATGTGTCTAAGGAAGAACAATTAAAAGAGAGCTGCGATCGATTTGGTTTTATTAATAAGCCGGTTAACAATTGGCAGTGAAATTTTATAATTTAGGAGGGCTTCTTAAAAGTTGTTTTTGACTTATTATTAGAAGCTACTTTTGAAAACGTTTAGATAATCTGTCAAAATGCTTACAAAAATTTTCAATCAAAATCACAAAACGATACTTCTAAATAGACTTTAAAAACTTTTACCTGAGTTTCATTAAGGTATTATAAACTTTATTCCAACACTTTTATTGCTTAATAGAAAATTTAAAATTTACTTTTACATATTAATTAGCTCATTTATTCCAGAAGCAAGCACTTATTAAAAAGTCGCAACTTTTACTTCTCTTGCAAAAACAAAAGCAAAACTCTCCTAACCGCCCTAAATACTTAAATTCTTTGAATAATTAATTAACAAACTAGTTCTAATTTGATGTTGATGATGTTGGGTACTTCTCGTTAATGGATGCCTTACGTGTTAAGACACGTGTAATTAATTAACAAAGTACGTGTTCATTTGTTTTCTATTTTATATATGCAATCAAGGTTCGCGCGCTCAAACATATATACGAGTTAAGAAACTCGAGAAGTTTTATAAAAAGATTTAATTTATTTGTCTCTTAAACACCGTTTTATAGATTAAAGAATAGTCAATTAATTAATGCATAGAATCACGACTTTCCACTACTAAATGACAACATTATCTTTTAGATTTTTCACGATTAACTAATCATTATTAACTTCAATTAAGACTAATAACCTACCGACTGCATCAGCAGCCTGCGGAGGCTCTCTTCAGAATTCACACAAAAGCAGCGAAATAAAAGACCATATTATCAGTTACTCTAACGACATTTTTCATTCAAACGGAAGAAGAAATATTGAATATATAATTCATTAATGAAGCCCTTTCAATGCTCCAAAAGTAATAACTTAGTTTTATATGACAACAAATTAAACACTTTTAACATTTGAACCAAGTACTTCAAAAGGCTTGTAACGAGCAATGCTATTTGGCTCCCGGAGGTGCGGCTCGCAACTTTGAAAAGTAGTCCCACCTGGATCCTCAAAGTACTTTTGTTTAATTACTGTTCCATCTTCCGAGTAACGGATTTGTCGTACAAGATGATCAACAACAAACTTCTTTGGAATAAGTTAAAACAATATACCAAATGGCATTTATTCTGAGGTACAGAAAAGGAGCAAAAAAAAAAAGAAAAGAAAAGAAAGGAAAAGTTGAAGATTTCACTCGATCATAATACAGTTGCATTTCTTCTAATTGACCATCAATAGCTCTATTAGTTCAAACAAATCTTCAGTTAACCTTGGTGCAGACTTTCCTGACTTCTCCTTCCGTGCCGGTAAGAGCTCCAATCTTTCCCATGTTGACCATGGAAACACGAAAGTCCTTGAAGAAAGAGGATGTCCCGTAGGTGTTGGCATGACTAAGGACGTAAGCTCTTGTCTCAGCGTCGTCGAGAAGAGCGGCGTCCGATTGGAATAGGCCCCTTCTCTTGCTGATAAGAGTGTAGTAGTTCACATCAAAGATCTTGAAACTTCCAGGGTCCATCTCCACATGCGAATTTTGGTCTCCTGTCTTGCATTTTAGCTTCAGTTGCTCAATGTACTCCGGATCCAACGTCGGGTCGGTGTCGCCCTTTCCGGTGAAGTTGTAGAGACGGTTGCCGAAGGCAGAGCAGCGTGAAGTTCCAATGGTGTGTCCACCTGGAAGACATAGGTAGAAGAAAAGGCTCAAATTCATGTACACGTTTAATGTATATGTATTGTGCATTTTTATGATTAGGTATATAATATATCGATAAGCTTTTTAATAGTTATTTTTCCATCCGTAATTACTATTAAATATAAAAATTTAATGATATAGTATTGTAATAAAAATTTAATATTGTTAATTGTTATAAATATTTTTGATTAACTATTTAATTCTATTACAACTGTCATATCAATATCTAATGGTCAAAAAATTAATATTAATTGATGAATAAATATTAAAATAAGTATTAAAATTACATCATGTAATATAATATATATATATATATTCAGTGCCGAGGCAGCCGCTCCCCAAGGTTTTATTATTTTTCTAAAATAATCTTTAAAAATTTGTGATTTTTTCTGTTTTATCTCGTTGAAATACACTTTTTTTATATACACCCTCATTAAATATCGCACTTTTTTATTTCTTCAAGACAAAAGATTTAGTATATGCTCCCACTCAAATATAAATCTGACTCCGCCACCGTGTATACCTGAGAGTACCACAAGGTCTTTTACGCTTAATCCCCTTCTTGCAAAGCCTGCTTTCAATACGGTAATGTTTGATAAAGGTGATAATAGATTTTGTAAGGCCTCTGTTATGTTGGAAACTCTTCCATCTCTTCTTCCGGTTTCAACTTCCCAGTATGGTCCAGACATCTGAAGTCGTGATATATGATATAATGTCTCACTTAGTTTCTGATCACATTATATCATGATCATGCCCCGTTTCTAGCAAAGCTTTTATTTTTAATCAGTAGAGCAAGCCAAGTAAAAGTTATAGCTTTCAATACATATTTGAAATCACATTTTTAAAAATTTTTTGATTAAGCAATAAAAATTCTTGAAAATAAAGTGTATTAATCAATAAAAATATTTGAATTAAGTTTATAATATCTCGTGAAAATACTGAAATAAAATTTTTACCTATATTTATAAGAGTTTTTTTTTAAAAAGTCACAACTTTAAATAGAAACACTTTTAATATATTATTTAAACACATTTAAGTTTTATTTATTTTATCGATTTGAGTTTAGAATTTAAATTTTGTTACAGTAAGAAATTTTTACACACAATCATATTTAATTTTTTTATTACAATAAAAAATTCTCATATAAATTCACATTTTAATTTAAATTAATAAATTAAATAAAATTTTAAAAATAATTTTAAATTCAGAAAGTCAAAATAGCTTTAAGTAAGTCTAAGTAATAATTAGTACTTACTGCGACCACTGAATCTCTGGCTACTATGGCCAAGATGTCGGCGCACGAAACAACTCCTGGACACTCCTTCTCTAAGGCAGTCTTGACTTTGTCAATAATTTGGAATCCTCTGAGGCCTGAGTTTGGAGCTGCATTTTTCTCAGCTTGACCAGTTGGAGAATTTAACAACACTGAACCTTCACAACCCTGTAAGAGAGGGAAAAGAAAATGTGGTTATAAACACTGGCGGAGTCAAAAACTTTTTTTAGGGACGTGAGGTCTATATTTTTTTTTCTTTTATTTCTTCAGCAGATAGTTTGAAACTCTTAATAGTATTCCATCACTTTGTAAAGTTTAAAGTCAACAAAAGTCAACAAAATTATGAATTAAAATGGTAGTATAATTAATTTTTGCTTTTATTTAGATTTTTTAGTTTAAATTATTAGTACTTAAAAGACAACATTTATATATTATTTTAAAAAGTTTTATAAGTATGATATTAATAAAATTTCCCTAGAAAGAATTAAATTTGGATGAATTCAGAAAATATTTTAAAAACATATGTAAAAACCTGTAATTATAAAATTTGAGGGGGGGCAATTTAAAAGGAAAAGTGCAAAAGAAAATTTTTTTGGGGCTAAAGTATAAAAGAGCCACTTGGACCCAGGGGGGCAGCTCAAGTGGCTCCGCTCCTGGTTGTAAATGTGGTTGTATAAAAATTAATTACTAATGTTAAAAAAGTGACCTTATAACGAAACATTTACAATACACTATGCAGTGATCTCAACATATTAAGAAAGAGATGTGTCATTAATAGATTACCCTGACAAAACAATCATGAAAATGCAGCCTATTCAAAGGACCAGCAAGCGAAGGTGCAACTTTCAAAGTTTCCACCATAATCTCCTTAACTACGGCCTCTGCTCTGGGGCATGTCTTTGCATAAAACCCCACTTTCAAGCCATGTGCACTTGCGCCGTGATGAAGGACAAAAAGTAATGGCACTAATTTGAAAAGGAAACATAATAGAAGTTTTGCAAAAGCCATAACTCAGAGCAGTTTTGTTTTTTTTTTTTTTTTTTTTTTTTTTTTTTTTTTTTGATATTAGTACTGAGACACTGATGAATAAGAGCATCAATTTATATTTGGCCTTAAACCCACTAATTAAGCCTGTGTCACACAGAGATTGCTGTCGTTACTTGCCCACGTTTAACAATTTTTATTTTTAATTTTTTTGTTTGTCTTAGATGTTCATCGAATAATTAGGCGAAATCTTGGCTCTTCAATTGTCGGACCTGTTCAAAAATTCGCATATATTCTAGGTAAGATAAGGACAATAATTGTACATTAATTTAATTAGTACGAAGTATTACTTTGTGCAACCAGTATATAGCTCATAGCATCTTTTTTAATATCTGTTTCATTTGAATGAAGAATGTCAAGTTGTTTATTAACCCCTTTGTCACTGTATTTTGCTCCATCAGTTGCACTTATGTTTTAATTATTATATTAATTTTTAAACGGACTAATCTACAATATGAGTAATTATATATCACGTACTATAAAATTTTTAATGCGAATATATATAAATTTAACTGTTAAAAATTTAACCCAACACTTAAAATAATAATTCTTTTCCGTAAAATAAAATAACCTTCTCTGCGATAAAGAATTTGATATGAAATAAATTAATTAATTAAAAAAAAAAACAATGTTTGATGGTATCCTTCACCTGCAAAAGTTTTAGATAGCTACTGAGCCAACCAGACTACGAAAATTCAGTTGACCTTTCTAATCGCTTTTTCTAAAAAAATAAAATAAAATAAAATTCAAGCACATTTAGCTGACGATGTGAAATTCTTTCTTAATCAATTTGTTTAGTAGACGGCCTAATGAACCACGTACACGTCGGTAAGGACCACTTGAAAGTAACATTGCAACTCCATATCTGATTGTTTCCTAGTGATTATTAGAAATGCTCGACATTAATTGATATAGTTGGTCAAGAATATATTGATTTGATATGCATTTATTGTAAGTTTTTTTTTTTTTATATAATTACCCACCTTGTAAGTTAATAATAAGGACTCGTTTAGTTCGTTAATTTAAATTTTTAATTTAAGTTGAGATATAATTTTATGTGAGAACTTTTTACTGTAGTAAAAAAATTAGATGTGACTATTTTTTAGAGCTATTTACTGTAACAAAACTCAAATCAGTGAAATAAACAGGATCTAATAATATATGCGTGGCCACTTTCACTGCTCTCTGAAAATCCCAGAATAAAAAGAATTGAAAAGATTGTGAATTATATTCGTCATTCTATTAGTGTGTAGAACTTGCATTTATTCAAGATAATATATATTTGCAAACATTGACAAAGTACTACAAGAAATTTGACTTTTAACAGTTAATTTTTTAGTCATAAAAAATCTAAATTTAGTCGCATAAAATCTTCTGTAATTAAAAAAATAGTCGCTACATGATTGCTAAAAATTGGTCATAGAATGTTTTTTACGACTAAAATTTTGTAGTCGCTAGATATTCATGCATTCAATGACTAAAATTTTAGTTGCAAAAGTTTTTTAGTTGGTCGTAAACAAAATTTCACAGGCACCAAAAATTTGTGTTGCAAAGAGACCAAATTATTTTTTGTGACTATGTGAAAGCTAATTGGCAACTAATTATTAGTTGTTGTTAAATCAATTATTAGACATATAATGACTAACCTTTTAGTCGCTAAAATTTCTAATTTAGTGACTACAAGTTAGTCATTGAAATTTTTTATTTTTGATTTTGTAGCTACTAACAATTAGTCACTAATTAATTTATTAACTAACTTTAAGTGACTAACTTTTAGTCGTTATTTTAAGAAATTGTAGTTGATAGAAACTCATGACTTCTGTTTTGAGTGACTAATTTTTTAATTGCTAAAAAAGTATTTGATTGCTAATTTTTATTTAAAGAATTAGCATAATATTTAATTAGATAAGAGAATAACATATCTAAATAATTGTTAAATCACATATCTAAATACCGGCATATCATAGATAGTTCGAGTTTTTAGAAGTAAACATCAAACAAATTAGAGTATATAGATTTAAAAACATAAACCTAAACACATAAACATCAAACTAAATAGTTGAACATATCTCTAAATATAAACGAACTTATAAAGAAATATCAAACGGCTGATGCGGGCGGCGGCGGTGGCGGTGGTTGTTGTGACGATTGAAAACTTGGGAAAGGATGTTCATCTGGTCCATTCATGAGAGCTATCATCTCTCTCCGCACTTCCTCGAGAAGCTCATTTCTTAATTGTTGCCGGATTGTTATAGTGATCTCCTCTCGCTCTCTTTGAAAATCCATTCGCATTTGATCAGCCATGTCTCCAACACGTTGTTGAAATTGTGCCTCAACTTGAGTAGAAGATTGAGATGATTGCTTACGAGTTATTGGTCCAAGACCTGGTATATACCCATTTCTTTCACTACCAAGAATCTGAGCACATATTGCGACCTCATCTACAACTTCATTATTGTCCTCCCCTTGCTGCCTTAGCTCTACCATTTGGTTCTGCAATTTTAAACAAATATGTTTGCAAATTAAATACTTAATATATATAGCAAACGATCAAAATATTATTAAAAAATAAAACATACATATCTTGTCTCAGCCTCTTCATTAATTCAACTATGAGCTGCATTCCAATGAGTCTCTTTAAATAACTCAATCCGTCCAAGCTCAAAAACACCTTCAGATGACTGTTAAGCATTAACATTTAAACTAATTAAAAGTAGAGCTAATCTAAAGTCATATATAAATAAGTAATTAACCTTTTCCTCTCTATGTGAATTAAAAAAATTTTTAGTTTGCTTTTCGTTAAAGTAAATTACCACTTGTGATCGGTGTCCGATAAAAGACTTGGATCCAGCTCGATGAACATGTGTGAGTCTACCTCTATTACCGGTTGCTGCCTCAGATCGTTTCTGCACCAGTTACTATTGCATTAGCACACAAATATAGAAAAGATTCTACAAAGTTTAGAAGATAGAAATACATTGTACATAATTTAAAAGAAGTGACAATATATACATAATTTTTCTATTTTTATTGGAGTTTGGTTGCAGTTTCACCAAACAATCAATCTAAAAAGGCCACACAATCTAAAGTATATAGGTTGTTACCTGAAAGCTAAACTTTAGCTACTCGTTTTGAAAATTGAACACTTCTGTTTTTTTTTTTTTTTTTTTTTTTTTTTTTGGAATGGAAACGTAGTTCAAGTAAAGGCTAGGTAAAAGTAAAAGAAAACTTGGGAAAAAAATATGAACGTAGAGTACTACTGTTTAGAGGCTTTTTATACATAGACACACCATAAAATTTGTATTACATCTCTTTCCTAATCAACCACTTTATATATATGGACATATAGCTGCAACACACATATATTTGTATTGTATTTACTTAATAGTAATAAAAGAACAAATGTAGTCACTGGCCGAATTAACAATATGAAGAATCTATTAAATTCTTCAACATATTGGGTGGCAACTCTTATTAAAAATAAAGCCCGAATAAAAAATTAAAACATATTACATGCCATGAGATACACAAGAAATAAATAAACTAAATAGGAGAAATATAAATGCATACCTGCCATTGTGGGTTGCTAAAAATGTTATCACACAGCCACTCCCAGTCCTCATTTGATCTCACTTTTGAAGGTGGATGAGCTCTTGGATTTTTTCCATTCTTTATCATGTTCTTATAATATCCATGCAAACTATTTCGATGATTTTTATAACGATTAGAACAGTGGCTATCGATGATGTTCACCAAATCTGTATCATTCAAGTTTAAGTTGAACTTGTCCTGTATCACATATTTAACAAAATTTACAAATTACTATTCATATTATATCAAAATACTTTACTGAAATAGTTACCTTAATGCGGGTGTAAATGACTTCTTTATCTCCATTGTCAATCTTGCTCCATCCTTTAACTCTAAGTGGGGCATGATCTCGTACAATAATACCAATTTCAGATGCAAATCTTGATGCATTGTCACCATAAGGATGAAGCTCTCCCTTGTTATAAGTCATATCCAACTTGTTCTCACTAATTAAATGACTTGTGCCCTTACTTCGATCAGGGCCACGAGTTCTTTTCTTTGGTGGTGCTGAAAAGCAAAAAAACAATAATAATAATAATAATAATAATAATAATAATAATAATAATAATAATAATAATAATAATAAACAAAGCGTCATACTAAATAATAGACAAAAATTAAAAAGGAATAATAATAAGTATATGGATAATTACCAGAAGATGTTGAACCTTGTAGATCATCTGGAGGGGATGTGCATGAGTGATGATGGTTGACAGAACTGTGGAAGGGGTTGCCCTCAATATAGATGAAGGAATATGGGTGGATGGAATGCTCCACCCCCTGTTGCTGGTGTTGAAATAGTAGGATTGATAGGAGACTTTGAAAGACATACCGAAGGACGTAGGGGTGGGTGCAGGATTCCTCTTTCTTGGTGGCATAGCTGAAAAGAAAAATGACTAAAGTGAATTCTGATTGAAATCATAAATACATTCAATTATAAGTGAAACAACATTGTTAGCATATTTCAAGTTGAGGCAAAACGAAGTCCATTTATAGTTTAGATCAACATTACATACTAGATTGTAGACATAATTTATATAGACACACTAATTTTAAGGTGTGGGATACTGTGATTCCATAAGAGAAAACAGAGCAGTAAGTAATAAAAGTGAACAAATTTTCTATTGATATGAGAAAGACAATACACAGAAATATAATTGATTTTAATCATTGCAGAAATGACTAACCTGAAACGCTGATGTTCCTTCTTGGTTTCACTCCTGTGTTTTGGAGTTTCCTGGAGTATTCAGTTTTCTTTCAATGGATACTTTTATATTATCAAGAGTTGAGAGCATACATAAAACTGTATAGTTGAGAGGATAAATAAAACCGTATAGTGCACTAACTCAAACATGAACGTGAATTATGGAGACTGCGCGGGTTCTTTATTTTTCTTTTTAAACTATATTTCATTTTATGGCGCCAATTTCTTTTTCATTTTTTCATTTTTCTTTTAAACTTAACTTGCATTTTTATTTAGTCCAACGACAGTTAAATCTTTTTTTTTATTTTTTTATGCTATTTATTTTTCCTCTAACAATAGAGAAAAAAAACTCCAAATTCAATCACGAAAAAGAAAATCTCCAAATTCAATCACGAAAAAGAAAAATATGGGAAAAAGGAACTAAATTGAACCTGGTGAGCGTCTTGAGAGGGAGGAGAAGAGCTCACGTAGGGCGCGGAGCTTCTCATCGGGCTCCGAGACGGCGCGATTCTTCCGGAACTCCGAAGGTGTCTTGGTGGAGACCAAGAGCAGTTTCCGATGATCAGAGGAGGGGGTGGGGATGAATCGGAGATGCTGAGAGGCGAGAGAGGACACATGGCTTGCGAGGGTATTGAGCGTTTCTACATCAGAATTCGTGTGAGAGAAAGAGGGGAAAAGAGTTTTGTTATAAATCGTTTTTAATTTATAATTTTTATTAAACCTATAGTATTATAATAAAGCCTCTAATAAAAATATATAAAAAAATGATATAAAAGTTACAGAGATTACCATTTTCTATAAGTCAATCACTCTCATCATCATATCTTTAACGATATCATTTGGTTCTACATTATCAGCAGAATCTGATTCCTCGTAATTATCCTCATTTGTATCTGATTCATGTTGAATCTGATCATCAGCAAGATTTATTGGGAGTTCGACGACTAAGGAGTCAATCTCTGTCATCCCAACATCTTCACGATTTAGAGGAGCCTCAACATTTGACTCATCAAATGTTACATTAATATCATTTGATCTTTCCTCTTGGTAAGCTTCACTAGAAAAATCGGCATCCTCCTCGTATTCGTGTGCACTTTCAGGTGTAACTTTTGGAATATTCCAGAGGTGACAATAATGTACCTTTTCCATAACTTTTCAATCTGAGCTGAACTTGTCATCACGCAAATAAAATACTTGGTTTGCTTGGTTTGCAAGGATAAACGGTTGATCTTGATACCACTTCGAGCTTACATTTATGCTGGTGATATGAAATTCTTGATGTATATTATTCCTTCCCTCAGTTTTATACCATGTGCATTTAAATAGTACCACTTTATGGTTTAATAAATAGGTGAGCTCCCAAATATTAGTTATAATACCATAAAAATCACATTCATTGCCATTATGTTCACCTTCTACCCAAACACCGTAATTTTGAGTTGATCGTCCAACATCTCAACTTTCTGTATGATATCGAACTCCATTTACTATACATCCGCCATATTGATCAATTCGATAATCCGGCATACATGACAGAGCATACATAGACTCACTCACTTCACCTGGTGATGATTTACGTGTTGTTTCGATCTGTCATTTATTACAAATGTTAGTGCGGAAAATACTTGTAATAGAACAATGACAAACTATTATATATAACATTCTTACTTTTTTCTTGAACCAAGATGAAAATTGTGATTGTTGGGCTTGAAGGATATTTGTGGTGCCTTTGGATAGTAATAATTTTAAATGTTCACTGTTTGACATGAAATCATACTTTAATCATTGTAGGAGGCTCTTAAGTAAAAGAAAAATAAAAAAAATTGAAAACTAAAAAAAACAAAACAAAACAAGAAAACAAGTAAAAATAAAATGAAATAAAATAAAATAAAAATATAAAACAAAAAACAAAAATCCAAGAAAGAAAATGATACTAATGTTTGTGAATAAACTTACTCAATATAGGGTTGCACTTCAGGACAATTGTTTAAAATGTACCAATGTGCATTTTCGTATTCAGAATCAAAATCACTTCTTAAGTGTAATGATTCCTTTTTCCCAAATAATCTTGTAGGTTGAGCAAAAGCTGATAAGATAGGTTCTGTTCGCTCTTCAACACGGTCTGAATTCCGCTCTGAACAATTGAACTGAGTTTCAATTCCATGAAGATACATTGAACACTAGTTTAATGCCTCATTGATGATATACCCTTCAGCAATTGATCCTTCTGGTCGAGCCTTATTCTTAACATACTTCTTTAGAGTACCTAGTGCCCTGGTTAAGAATAGACATGACACTTTATTAATAATAATTATTTTTTGTTAGACGTGTTGTTGGAAAGATAAAGTATACGATACTACCTTTCAAACGGATACATCCACCGTGTGTGTATTGGACCAGCCAACTTTGCTTCATAAGGTAAATGTACAGCTAGGTGAACCATTATGTCAAAAAATAATGGGGGAAAAATAGATTCAAGCTTACACATACACTTGATAATCCCATCGGCATCCAAGTCCGTAACATACAATGTTCTTGCACATAGCTTCTGAAAAAATAATGATAGTTCAGAAATTGCGACAATCACTTCCTTTTTCATATAAGGCCTTAACCCAGGGGTAATAAGACATTACAATAAAATGTGACAATCATAACTCTTCAAACCTGATATTTTCCCCTCACTTATATTCACATTTCTCAAAATGTTTGCAGCAAAACCATCTGGAAACTTGACAGAACTTAACCACTCACAAAATTTTCTTCATTCTTTTAATGATAATGTGTAACATGCTACGGGCTTAAAAAACTTATCACCTTTTTGTTGTGAGTGCAATTCTTTTCGTATGTTCAATTCAGCCAAGCCAAGCCGACCTTTGTCAGTATCCTTCGACTTTCCATCCATGCATAAGATTGTCCCATATAGACTCTCACAAATATTTTTCTCAATATGCATCACATCTAAATTATGTCTTAGCTTCAATTTTGACCAGTATTCTAACTCCCACAAAATGCATTTTCGCTTCCAATTATTTGTTGGAACATCATTATTTTTTTTTCCTGGCAAGCACAACACGTTTTCTTTTCTTACCACGCACATCACCTTTTCTTTTTTCTTTTTCTTTTACGATCTTTTTTCCTGGGATAAATTCTTCTACCTTTTCCAGTTGCCTTAAGATATCATCACCTGTGAATGTTCTAGGAGGAGGTCATCGTTCAATTTTACCATCATAACGTTTACTTTTCTGCCACGGATGATCCATAGGTAAATATCGACGATGCCCCATATAACTAATCTTGTCCTTAATGTAGAAGGATGTTCCATCCTCATTACAATCAGGACATGCCTTATAACCTTTTGTGCTCCACCCTGATATTGTACCATAAGCTGAAAAGTCATTGATTGTCCATAAAACTGTAGCATGCATCGTAAAATATTCATCTTTTGACACATCGTACGTTCTAATCCCATTTTTCCATAATTCTTTCAGCTCATTAATTAAGGGTTGTAAATATACATCAATATCTTTACCAGGGGCTTTGGAACCGGGAATTAATATCGCCATAATAAAAAACATTTGTTTCATGCATCTCCAAAGTGGCATATTATATGGTACTAAAATAACAGGCCACACACTATATTTGACATTAAGACTACCAAATGGGTTGAAACCATCAGTTGCAAGTCCCAATCTAACATTTCTTAGGTCCTCTGCAAACCATGGATATTCTTGATCAAATTCCTTCCAGGCCTCAACATATGCAGGATGTCTAAGCACACCTTCGGTATTGACACATTTTTCTTTGTGCCATCTCATATCATCACATGTGTGTCTTGACATAAAAAGTCTCTGTAGACGAGGAGTAATTTGAAAATAATACATCTTTTTCTTTGGTATCTTTTTTCCTTTCGTACGACCTGGTTTGTACCTTGGTTCATTACAAATAGCACATTTTTCAGCATCCTTGTGTTGTTTCCAAAATAGAGAACAATCATTTACGCACACATGAATTGTTTCATAGCCTAAACCAAGTTCACGGAACATTCGTTTAGCTTCATAGTAGGAACTTGGAAGCTTATCGCCGCCTGGAAATGTTTCTCTAAGTATTTGAAGTAACATATCAAATGACTTGTTACTTCAATTGTTCATCACCTTCACATGCATTAACTTGACAATGCTTGTAAGAGAAGAATTCTTCGTGTAACCAGGATAAAGTACTTTAGTTGCTTCTTCAAATAGTTCTTTAAATTTGTCGCGTCCAATATGACTTTACTCTCCTAAAGTTGTCTCATTTTGATTATTGCTTTGGGGAATTCCTCCAGTTGCATCTTCAAGTACTGGTATCATATCGTCACTATCAGAACCTTCATTATCGTCTCTCATGTTTGAAACAACCTCTTCTTGATTGTTAGATTTTAGATTGACGTCAACCTCTCCATGATATATCCAGTTCGTATAATGTTTAGAGAAACCATAAAACCATAGATGTCGTTCAATTGTTACTATATCATGAAAGAAGAAGTTTACACATTCGATGCAGGGGCAGCGAGTCTTATTGTCATTGTTCAAGTGATTGCGAGCAATTGCAATGAAGTTCTTGACGCCATCAGTATATTCTTGTGATAACTTATTATTATTCCATATCCAATTCTTGTCCATGATTGAAAGCGTTAACTGCTTATAACAAATTCAACTGTAAGAAGAAGTTAAGTCTAACGCCATCAGTCCATGGGAGCAACAGGACAACTTTACTTAGTTGACAAACTAGAAGCTAAAACCTATTCTAGTAGGCTTTAATGCAGAAGTATCTTTACAAAAAAATCTAGCAAATATCATCAGATGAGCAAAAAACAATACCTGTCTAAAAGCCTTTGATGATCTACAGTTGCTTCATCGACCGAGGGTATTTCACCATTGGTTCTAGGAACATGCTGCAACAAACCAGCAACATAAAAGAGCAATTACAGTCTGACAATGCTGTAGTCATAAGCATGCATGTATATATTGATCAAACAGAGTACATAATGGTCAACGAATTTTAATTAAAAATATAGACATGATCAGAGACTAAAACTTTGTGTAAAATTGGTTAACATATCAATAGCAATCTCAGAATTTTTATAAATTAAAATACTCAATTTTGACATTTAAAACGGATTTTACAAAACATGTCTTAAATAATAAGAAATTCATAAAATCCAAAAATTCTAAAACAATACTAAAATACTGGAATTAAATATTCTTAGAATTCAAATTCATTAGAAACTCATTCATGTCATATCATGAGAATTATATGTCAAGCCAAACTCTAGAATTCTTCTCGAGTACAATCTAAAAAAAAATTCAAGCGTTAGTGATAGGACAAAATCCTTAAAAGGCACATAACATTAAACCTTCAAACAATAATTCATAAATATGAAAACACCGGTGAACAATTAAGATAAATAACTGAATACCCATAAAAAATTAACCATAGATTTAGCCAAAACACAAAGGAGAAACCAAAAAAATACATATCTACACACAAATATTATCCGTGTTTCTCGGATATTAAAGAAGCGGTGAAAAGAGATATTACAACAAAACAAAGATATTACATCAATAAAAAAAGTGAAGAACTTGCCTGTTATTTGCAGCTGAGCGGCAAAATTCTGTCCAAATTCTCTTGATTCTCTGAACATATCAGAAATGGAAGTGGAAGAAACTAAAGAGAGGAGTCTTTTGTTTTCAAGAGGTGTTTAGTTCTCCTTCAATATTAAACAACTGAAAGCTGAAGAAAATTGACTCCTTTTTTATTTCTTGCTTAAAATTATGAGAAAAATAATAAAAATATTTATGTGCCTTTCAACTACCAGTTTTTTTTTTTTTTT